AAAAACTTAAAAGAAATTGATCAAATCACATTCACTAACGAGGAACTTTCTTTTGTCATGCACCAAGATTATGAAATGATTATATTTGGTAAGAAAAAATATTTAAATTATTTTAAAACATGTAGTACAATTTTGATGGATGAAACTTTTAAATCATGTCCAAGTTTGTCTATTGAGATATATGGAAACAAAATTTTATATTAACACTTAAAAGCCATACAAAATGCGTTTTTGGAAAATGATGATGTTCAAAAATAACAAAACCATTTAAAAATATAATGTTTTATAAAAATTTAAATAAAATAGTAAAAAACCTATAAAATTAAACTAGTCTTAACTTAAAAAATTAAATGGCGGTTGAAGTTGGAACTGACACCTTTTTGTCCGCCCGATTCTACGCGTCCAAATAATCAGAATTTTGCTGCATTTGTTGCATTCTCCCCCTTCCCACAAATCGTTATAATTTCAAATTATGCAACCTGTTGAGTTTGTAAGGCCACATTAAACTGAGGCTTTTTTACTGTTGTTGTAAAATCACAACTCAGACTGTTAAATATTCTTTGTTTCGCTTCAACTACAAATTATTTTTCTTTTTTACCCAAAACTGTCTGCAAATCAATACCATTTGACATGTCATCGAATGTGTCGTCAAGCCGTAAAATGGCTTTAGCAGCTTCAGAGAGTTCATCCATGTTGTCGCGGACTTTGTCTTTAAACATTTATTATTAAGCTTTTCATTTTATTGGCCAAGCCTTAATCATATTATTTAAATGGTTTACTTATCAGCTTTGGCTCGAGCTGCTATTCTTCTTCCCAATTTTTTATTTCCTTGTCAAGGCTTAATGTATTTTTTATACTTGAAGGTTTTTTATTACTACTATTAAAATTATTATTAAATTATTTAATACCTGAATATTATTTTTTTATAGTTCAATTATAGTAAATATAGGGTTTGTTGCAAATTAAAAGATTATTTAAAGTTCTATAAGAAAAAAATCATAAAGGCGGACAAAAAAATGTCTTATTTGACAATTAAGTGTTAAATAATAAAATCTAAGAATTCAATTATGACTTACCTTTCAGACAATTTCTTTTGAAATTATAATCCCGGGTTTGCATAGCTAAGAAGAGTAATCTTCCACAACCCTTTCTTCGCCCCCATCAACATCAGTCAATGAGTTTTCATTTCTCTCGGCGTCTACAGATTGTTCTATTTCATAAGACGGAGATCCATGGTTCATGTATATCATTAAGTCCTGCATACACGTGACAATCACATGACGCAGTACTTTGTTATAATCAAGTTTGATTTTCAGTATTTTCTCCAGCCTTTCTACTGATAGTTTATTAATCAGTCCACTGGTCGTGATGACAACAGGTATTGTCATGACACTTTTGAGATCCCTCGCCTGTTCTAGTTTATTGGCCAAGATTCTATACTTGGATAATTTTCCGCTGTATGCTTTTGCTATATTTTCATCCTTCACAATGGTTACATCAATAATATAGCCTTTTTTGTTTCATTGCTTTGCCAGTAAATATCAGGACTTCTTGCAAAGCATACTCTGTTGTCTCCCAACAAGTTCTTCTCTGCTAAAACATCATTTTTCGCCTCTGGGTCTGCAATACATTTCGGTGGTGTACCCAAGTTCATTTCCAGTGTCACCAGTTTAAGTTGTTTCAATAGTGCCACATGTATTTCACAACATACATAGTTATGTCTTTCCATTTGGCTCTTTTTGGTTATGGGGCAATTCAGTAGCACGTGTGGGATATTTGCTGTTTGGTTCTTGCAGCAATAACATTTTCCTTCGCTTTTATTTTTTGTTATTATTGCCCTTGTGCCCACATATGTTGCACCCTCTTGCATTTTAACTACTTGTATAAATGCCACTATTTTTATATTGCAGTTTCGCCATGCTTGCCCGGATATGACTTTATGGTACTGGTAGTGCATGAGTGTCTTTGGTAGTATTCCTGCTTTTTTCTTTGTAGACCACATTTTAAAGTAATGTGCATCAATTTTTTAGTCAATGTATTCCATTACAACTTTAATGGATTTCCCCTTCGCTGCTTCATTTTCTATACACTCTTTTAATTCTTTCTCACTCATCTTAGGTTTGAGACATTTTGTGGCTCTTTTAAGTAGGTTCTCTGGTGCTTCTCTTGTGTGTTTGAGTATATCTGCTATGTTTGAGTCGCTTTGCCACACATATTTGAGGAATACTCGTATGAGTTCTTTTCCACACTTGTCTCTGCACCCTTTAAGGCCGTATCCCGTATTTGTTAGGCGGACATAGAGTCTGTCTTTTGAAAGACCTTTTCCATATATATTCTGTTCAATTAAGAATTTACGTATATTTAGATCTAGTTTGTCTAGATGACCCAACTTCCATGATACAACACTGTATCCATTCCTGAGTTTTGAAATTATATCGCTGTTAATTGTTCGTATTATGTTTATCGAGCTCATGTTTCTTCCCACCATTTTCCTCATACAATCGCTTATACCTTCAGCTATTCTCGCGCAGTAAGCGTCTGTGTCGACTTTATCGTCAAGTTCGATTCCCAAGTATTTGTACGGATTGTCGCTGTTTACCCTTGGGTTGTTTTGCATTGCCGTTGGGATTACTGCTCCATATCGTGCTGCCACTCCACATTTGGCAGAATTTATTTCCATTGCCATGGCTTCGAATGACTCACAGACAATGTTGTGCGCCTGTAGCATCTCTTCTATTGATGATGTCAGCACTCTAAGATCATCCATATCGAATGTGTGACCCAGTTTAATTGTAGTGTCTGCAAGTTTTGATTGTATTTCCACTGGCCTAACTATCTCATTTAGTTTCTTTGATATACAGTCGATTGATATTACAAACAGTAAAGGTGAAAGCGAGTCTCCTTGTAGTATTCCATTTCTTACTTTCACTTGTCATATGACATTTCCATCATATATCAGTGCTATCTTCCAACAGTGCATCATGTCTTCAATGATGTAGATGATTTCCTCAGCTATATTATAATGCTGTAAGCACTTTGATAACCATTTATGGTTGACACTGTCGTATGCTTTCCTCACATCGTAGTATGCTTCGTAGTATTTTCTCTTACTTCTCTTCAGTGCCGATTGGAATAAAATATTTTGCAACAGTCCTTCTTTGGAGGCATAAGTGTGCTTTTTGCAGCCCAATTGATTGTATTCCAGTTTTTGTCCAGTTGGGTTGACATCTAGTTGTTTCTCATTTTTTTGCTTCAGTATAGAAGTAAAAACTTTTAGTATGATATTGAGGCATGTGATTGGACGATAGTTTGCAGGATTTTTGGAGTCACCTCCTTTTGGTATTAACACAGTCCTTCCCATTAGCATCTCTTGTGGTATGCTGTCGGGGTATTTGTACCATTTTTGTAATATTTTAAGCAGTGCATTGTGTATACACTTGCAGTATTTTATGTAGTATCCTTGGATTTTGTCGTTTCCTGGTGCTTTCCAATTTGCTATGTGTTCGAGTGCTGTCTCCATTTCTTCCTTTGTTATATTTTGTATTAAAATATTCCTTCTTTAGTCCTCCCACACATCCTTCACGTATTGGTTGTCCTTTTTAAGTGGCTTTATATTTTCAAATAGCTCTGACCAATGGTTCATCGTGTCTTCATTTGATGGTAATTCGGTGGACCTTGTTCCTCTTTCCATGCATCTCTTGTTGAACGCGAACCACTTGGAGTTATTTTTTATCCTTTTCATGTTTGTCTTTTTATATTCCATTTCATATATATGGGCATTTCTGAGGTACTTAAAATATGCAATTTTGTCTTTAGTGTGTCGAATAACTTCATCTATGCTGCTCTTCTCCTTGTGTAGCAGGTGAAGCAATTTAATGTCATTTCTTTCCTTGAGTAAGTCGGAGTATTTATTAATGATAGCCAGAAATTTGTTATCTCTGCTCATCGTGTTGAGTAGACTTCTGTTTCCTTGAAGATATTTACTAATGGCGTGTGAGGTTGCATCTATAAAATTCTGTATTTCTTTAATGTTGTCTACTTCTGGCTTAACTTCTGTGTTTACATACAACATTAGCTTGGTGATGGTTTTGCTGTTGTTGTAGTAATTGACATATGCTGTTTCTTCATGAGGCATCTTCATTTCCTCATCTAGCATTACATGGAACTTTTTAAAGTCGACTTCATTGTTAGAGTGGGTTTTGATGATTTCAGTGAGTTTGTATTTCTCCATTAGTTCTTTGCTGTGTAAGACCCTTTTCATATAATTATTTACCTCCTGTTTTTGTTTGTTTGTGAGGTACTTACACATTTTGAGTGCTAATTTGATTTTTTCGGGGGTTTTCCAATTCTATTTTGAGATTTTTAAATATCTCTCTAATTTCTTTTTGAGAGAGTTTTATTTTTAATTTGGAATCGAATTTGATAAGTGCATATATTTTCATTTTTTGAATTGTTCTGTCACTTAGAACTCGATTCTGGGTTGGGGCGCTTCTTGTGTGTTGCTGTATGTTGGTAGCTGTGTACTTCTTTCTTCTGTTTGTATCTTCGTTATCATCTTCCCAACTGCACCCGCAATTACATTCATCCCGGTCCCCAGTTGACCGGTCTCCATGACGTTTTTTTGTACAGCTGACCCAATTGTATCAATTACTCTTTCATGTTCTATTATTTTATTTTGAGTATTATTTTCAAGATCGATAAGTGTCGTTCCTATCTTGTGTTGTATGTGGTCTATTTCATTCACTTTCTGGTCGAGTAATCTTTGATTACCGATAACTTGTTGTGTAGTCACCCCTAGTGTTTTATCAACATAGCTTGTTATATCCATTTTGTCTTGTTGTCTAGCGATTTCATTGTTAACTTTGTGTATTGTAAGCTCATTATTGACTTGGATGTTGAAATTGTGCATCTGGTATTTAATTTCATTTACATCATTTTGTAATTTGAGGTTAATTTCTGAATTTTTATTCTCTGAATTTTCAAGGTGTTCTCTTATAAACTTAATTGCATCTTGGTTGAAGTTCAATTTCTTTGAATTTCAATGTTTCCAGTGTGTTCTTTTCAACCACATTTATCGCCATTTTAAAACTTTGCATTTCGGTTATTACCACTCCTTTGATGTTTTGACGTAGTTCTTGTGAGTTCAAAAGTTCATCACGGTGACTTTTGGGCAATTGGGTTTGTATTTGAGTGTTCACTTTCTTTTCAATGCTTTTTATTTTATCTTCTAGTTTCTTTTGATCTTCTTGGATTTGGGTAAGTGAATTTTCGATCATCATCATCTTTTCCAACAGCTTGGATTCGTCATAGGTTAAGCAGTTTCCATTTTGTGAGGTTGTATCTATTTTGTCTCTAGAGTCTTGTTCTTTTGGTTTTCCGTTTTGTTTCTGGTCAACTGGGTCATTCATTTTTCCCTTTGGTTTGTGTGTCCAATTATTTACCTGATTCCTCCTAGGTATTTTTCTTGCTGCTGGGTTTGTTTGTGAAGTTTTCCTGTACGGGTGGTTCTTTTCATCCCTTTGGGTGGTTTTGTATGGTTTCGGGTTGTAAATGACGATTGAGAACTTACC